AGCCTGTGAGCAATCTCCAATCCCCCCCCCCCCCTCTTCCTTTCATATGCCATTCTAGGCTGCTGCAGGAAGCTCTTGCTCCTTTTCCCTTCTGGCCACGCACATTCCGGAGTTCGTCATACATACACACATATGCATACGTCCTCTCATGCCCCCTCCGGCCCAGCCCACGCGTTTCTCCCCTCTACAGTCAGCGCAGAATTATCGGCGGTATGTATGGTTGTGATATTGGCTAATTGATTATGTATCCTGCTTGCTCAATAGACTAAGCGAATCCGAGTACATACCCCGCGTCTAGCCAGCTGCACACAGACTCAACCCCCGACTCGAGACCTGCATACTATTAGCGGAAATAGGCCCACCCTCGCATATCGAATAATCCAGAAAAAAAAATACACAATGCCGAAGGACAAAGAGCGCACCATGAACCCTGCCGCGGCGCAGCGGAAACTAGATAAGCAGAAGAGCCTCAAGAAGGGCAAGGCCGAAGCGTTGGCCCGCCGGAATGAGAAACTAGCCCGTCGCAACCCGGAGCGCATCCAGCGTCAGATTGATGAGATCAAGTCGATAGAGGCATCGGGACAAAAGCTACGGCCACGTGATCAACAGTTGCTCGAAGCCCTTCAACGAGATCACCGCGCGGTGCTCAAGGCGCGAGAAGCCCTGGGAGATAAGGCTCCCCAGTTCGCGAGCTTCGGGTCTAGAAGCGGCGGAGACCGCGATGGTGACGATGGAGGCGTTTTAGGAAAGCGCAGGAGGGATGGTGGTGGCGGTGGCGGGGGGCGCTTCGGACGGCATAATCGGGACAGTGAGAGTAGCGACGAGACAGATGAGGAGGTGCGAAGGATACCCATGCCTCGGGATACACCCCCGCCGATTCCGCGCCAGTTCCAGAGGAGACCAGGCGGCGACCAGGCCGAGGGTACACGAGGACCACATGCTCTTCCTGCAAGACCTCCCGTTGTCGAAGCTAAGGCGGTCTATGAGGCCAAGCCGCAGATCCGAGACCTGCGACAGGAGGCCATCAACAAATTCATCCCCGCTGCCGTCAGAGCCAAGCAGGATTCTATACGAGGGCATGGTAAGCTCTTGGAGCCGGAAGAGATGGACCGGCTCGAGCAAGCAGGTTACAAGGCAGAGATGGGCCAAGCTGGGGTAGCAGAGGCAGCAGGGGCCGTAGGTCAACCAGAAATGACAGACGACGACGCCCAGAGGCGAATGTTAGAAGAGGAGGAAAGGAGGTTCAACCAGGAGCTTCGATCAGTTCAGATCGAAGAAGTTGAAGATGAGGAGGCATAGATCCTAATGAATCAAATTTAATGAACGTCCAGGACAATTATTTCGGAGGGAGGGGGAGGGGAAGGGCAGAGGACCGTTGATCAGTCAGCGCCTTATGTACGTACCTATATTCCGCTCTCTCTCTCTCTCTCTCTCTCTCTTCCTTTATCGAGAGACTCTGCTAGTTCTTAGGGTTTGCAGGTTGAAGGATACTGGAACCGTAGATCACAGATTTATTGATCATCCAATCTAGCGCAGGACCATGTGAACAAGAAACAGAATGTGTGTGTATGTATGTACAACTCTTTTTGAGAGCAAATTTCCGAAAGAACCGTAGAACCCAAGGATCACCAGATCAACACCAACCGTAGAGCACCACAAATGCAGAGATGAAAGAGATAGGAAATGTACAGGTGTCAAACGAGTGTACTGACTTTTCGAGATGTGCATCGCAGAGAAGTCGAAAGGGGACATATTGAGAGAGGGATGGGGGAAAGCCAAGGCATGGAGAAAGTAACAAGAAACCACCAAACGAGCTGGATATGGTCAGATACAGTCACTATCTGTACAGTGTGCAAGGTGCATGGGGGAACAGAGACAAGAACTCGTGGGCAGGGGAAAGGGGAAGTTTTGAGGGGATTGGGGGGCTTCATCACGGCATTAAAAAAACAAAGGAAAGTGGAGGGTGTTGCGTCTTCATATGACAATCAAGCATTCAGAGTCAAGATGCAGCGCACCAAAAAAATGCATCATCGAAGCTTGCACCATGTCTCGCACGGTCAAACTCCGGTTCGCGAATATTCAATCCACCCAGGCCGTATAACTCCGAAGTATGTCTTGAATTATTAAATGGTATATTGACGATGAGACGTCAACAGTAAATACCCAAAAAGGCGTGTATGTCATAAGAGTTTCCGGGTCAACCGGCGAAACTGAAAGACAAGATTGCTGACACTCGATGTGCATGGGGCGTGTCAAGGCATGGCGTTTTCCTTGTGCAATAGTAGCTACCTCAAATTGCGAATGATCTTTCTTCCCCGGACCAAGAATGGGCTGGGCATCTCGTCTTTTTCGGGATCCCACACGGCCGGGGGGTCGCGCGCACTGGATTTCAAGCCCCGAGAGTCGCTGGCACACCGCTTGATCTCATCAACGGGACGGCCACCCGCGCGCGCCTGCGCCAGTTCAACCAACGTCCTTCCACCCATGTTGCGCTGCATCACGGCCTTGTACATGTCCTCACCGCCGTTGTTGGTTTTGGAAGGCAGTTGCTTGACGCCAGATTTGCGTGTGGGTGAGCCAGCATCGGCAGCTAGATTCGCCGAGGATGGGATTTTGGACAAACGCCGATGAGGTGATCGGGGCTTGCTCTCTCTCGGAAGCATGTCGGAGAGGCCACCCGAGACCTGTGGTAGTCTGGAAGAGTTGGTGGGGAAGATAGGCGGTTGGGTGCTTAGCTTCTGCATGAATGCAGCCGTGTTCTGTCGCAAGAGTGGTCGCGAAGGAGCTTTGAACGGATCTGGCTTGACCTTGGGGCGAGTTGGGGAGGGCAGATCGGGAATATCATCCTCATCATCGGAGTAGGCTAGGGTGGGTTCCCATTTCGCTCGCTGTCTCTCAGCCTCGGCGAAAATGTTCTTGCCGGAGGAAGTTCCAGAAGTACGACGGGGAGACAAGGAGAGCGATGCAATTGAGATGGGGGAAGGCTCGGCCATTTGGACGTCCATTGGTGACTCGACCACGGTCTTCGAACGAGTTAATGGGGTGCGCGTCTCCTTCCGCGGGGCCTTGCTGGGAGCCGGAGATTCGAGCGACAACTGGGTGATATCGGCGCTCGGTGGGTTACTGGCATCCTCATTGCTGCTGGATGCCTGGGATTGTTGGCTGTTTGACCGGGAATTGCTATCCTCCTTGAAAGCACCGCTCTTCTTTTGCTTCTCAACCTCTAATGCAACCCTTTCCTGTACTTCAAAGTCGAATCGCTTTCGGAGTTTTTCCAATTCATTCTGCACCTGACGGTCGATCTCCAGCCGAGCCTTGACTTCCCACTCTCGTCTGACGGTGTTTTCCAACTCGGCCTTCATCTGTTGTTTTTCCCTGTCCAGTTTGGTGTATGCTTGTTCCACTTCTCTAGCCTTCTGAGCGGCAGTCTCTTCACGCTTTCGCAGAGTCTTTTCAAGGTCGGCAACTTCCTTCTCCCTGCGCATCAGGCGGATGATGGGAAGGTTGATCAGCGCTGCAGTATCGGGGCGATGGTCTGGGTTGACGCGCAAGCAGCTTGCAATAACATTTTTCAGCTCGGGTGAGTAGAAGTCAGGCAAAGGAGCAAATTTTCCTTCGCGTATTCTCTGAATGAGTTGGATGTGAGTTCTGGCGTTGAATGGTGGCTCTTTCTGGCACAGCTCATACATGATGCAGCCGACAGCCCAAATATCAGATCGCAATGTGTAGGGCTCCGCCGCGCAGATTTCAGGCGACATGTAGAATGGGGTACCGACGTAGGTAGATGCAAAGTCTTGAGAATTCATCAGCTTCGAGAGACCGAAGTCACCGAGCTTGACAGTGTTGTCGCTGCCAAGGAAGATGTTTTCTGGTTTGAGATCGCGATGAAGGATGGTCATCTGGGCCTGTTTCCCTTTAAGACCGGACTGCTTGGGAGCAGGGCCTAGGATGCTCCCAGCTTCAAGAGGATCAGAACCGTAGTGGCAGCGGTATAAAGCCGTCGCCAATTGGGAAAGAATGCGCCATACGAATTCTTCCTCTGCAAATTTGTTCGTCTTTTTCAGGTTCTTGATGATCATGCTGAGATCCCCACCACCACAGTATTCCATGTAAAGGTAAAGGTCCTGACTCGCTTTGAGGTGTTCGCGATGGTAGTAGGCGACGATGTTTGGGTGTCGAAGAGAGCTTAGGATATTAAATTCGGCTGTCAGCTGTTCTCGTTCCTTTTGCGACATCTTGATGTAGTTGATTTCCTTGCGACAGAGTATCTATGACAGAGGTGATTGTAAGCATAAGAGGGTCGATACTGTAACGGTAGATGGATCCTTACAAAGCCGTCTGCCTTTCGTCGCACTTTGCGAATGATTCCGAAGGAACCGCAACCTAAGCATCCGTGATCAGTAAGTTGATGTCCGAAGCCCACTTGCATACCTAGATGGTATTCAAGGGTCTCATACCAATCTTTTCAAGCACCTCATACTTGTCTGCCTCCGCTAACGCAATTGCCATTGTGGCTGCTGGGAGGTGAAAGACCGCAGGCAAGAATATGAAGTATAAGGCGAAGGTTGGGAATAAGTGGCGAGAGGATGAGCCCGAGTAGCCTATGGCATTTATGAGTCGATACTTTGTGACTGAAACCTGCTGGGTTAGTATGGAGCGATGTTGGGTGGGAACATGTGGTTGCGGTTGTAGATTTAAAGAACTAGGTATGCAACGGGGACGGAAGTGCTGAATGTTTAGGTGCAGACTGTTGCTGAGCAACGGCTGCCGGCCACGACTCTTGCCTGGTTACAGCAGGCGGTGGGGATGCCGGGCGGTGAAGCGGGTCATTGACCATCATCATCGTTCCGTCAGTGGTTCGGGACGTCAGAAGCGGTTCACAATGCTGCATGGGACAAGATAAACATCGAAAGCTTGCTCGCTCGAACCTGCAAGACGCCCTTTGATGAGTGAAGTATCAACAAGATCAAGCGTACTGAGTAGAAAGAGAACCAGAACAATGCAAGGGGACAAGGAACTTCTTTCACTCCCTTGGTCCCTTGTGGGCAGGGGCTTTCTCGCTAGGCGCTTGTCTCACGTGACACATGCTTATCGATAAGACGATTCAAATGTTGCCCCGTTTGGGGTCGTCTCCCCGCCGTCCTCCGCAACAATCACCTGCATATCTTGAAGAATTGCTTGCATTTCATCTACCCTGCCAATTTCCTACTCTGGCACAATGGATGAACCGAAGGTCCTTCGAAAGGACCAGCTGGAGATAAGCTTGCACAATGAGAAGAAGCTTATCAAGGAGGGGACAATCAAGGACGATAACCCTCTTGACCTTAGCGAACCCTTCCGGGAGCTCTGCAATGCTTGTCGTAAGGGGGATTTGAAAGTTTGTCAGGAGAAGATCACGGAAGGAGTCAACATCAATGCCCGCGATCTATACGATTATACCCCTTTGATTCTGGTAAGTCTACCATGAATCACCATCATGCCGTTGTCCAGGCTCGGCGTGGCGAGTTGGCGTTGCCGTGCAGTAGTAACCAGCATCTGTGCAAAAGGCAAGTCTCTGTGGCCACTACGAGGTCGCTCAGCTGCTGCTCGAGTCCGGAGCTTTATGCGAACGGGACACTTTTCAGGGAGAAAGGTATGCACCTTGTTATCTGTGTCACTTTCGATGTCCAGTGGTTATCAGCCAGCCTACGATGTTAACATAAGTATGATAGATGTTTGTATAACGCCCTCAATGATCGGATACGGAACCTGCTCCTGGAATACGACTATTCGAAGTCGACGGATCCCCTGCAGCCTCTTGCAGCTCATATCACGTCACTTCTCACTCGCGAGAGCCCTGCGACAGCGGATATTGTTGTAACAGCAGGCGATGAGTCTCTCCATTTGCACAAGTTTATCTTGGCCGCGCGGTCTCCCTATTTCCGCAACAAATTGGCCACTGCCCCGGACACGTCGACGTGGAGGCTCCCTAGCACAATGCCCCCAGAAGCATTCGGGACAGCGATCAAATACCTCTATTTTGGCGAAGCTCCGCGCGACATCCGGAGTGGCCCAGGGACCGGATTCACCGAGTCTGAGGTCTTTTCTAATATCGATAAGATTGCCAAGCATTTGGAAATCAATACGCTTTTGGATAGTATATTGGACAGCGGCGATAGGAGGCTCGCTCGACAAAGACGGACACTCGAGGTGGCCAAGGGGCGAGACCAATTGGAGGAGTGGTTCCGGGCGAATGTACTCCAGCACAAGGTGACTGTGGAAACCTCACGAGCGGATGAAGTCAAATGGGACAGAGACAACACCTTATTTGCGGACGTCTTGCTCTGCGCAGACGAGGACCTCGATAATGTGGACGAGCATGTTGGCACCAACGGCGATTCTGCCAATCCGCGCGTCCAGAAGAGCACCCTATTCCCCTGCCACCGGGCCATGCTTTTACGCTCTGAGTTCTTCCACACCATGTTCACCTCCCCCTTTCGCGAGGCGCACATGAAGGATCATCTCAACATCATCCCGGTTGATTGCTCCCCGGAGGTCCTCGAGATCGTGCTCACCTTCCTCTACACGGAGCGCGCAGACTTCCCGCTCGACATCGCCGTCGACGTCCTTTTCGCCGCGGACATGCTCTTCATCGAGAAGTTGAAGACGAAGGCCGCTGTTGTGATCAGTACCCTGGGCAGCGGCAACATGTCGCAGGCCGAAGCCGCCCGCACACGCGGCACCATGGAAGAGGACGACCTCGACATCTACGCCATCATCCGCGCGGCCTGGCTGACGCGCGTGCAGCGCCTCGAAGAGTTCGCCGCCCGTTACCTTGCCTACCGGCTGGAAGCCCATATCGACTCCCCCGAGTTCTCGGAATTGATCCAGGAGTCTGCTGCCCGCATTCAAGGTCGTCAGGAGACCGACTCCATCGAGCTGCTTGACGACATCCGGTTTTACCTCGGCGAGCGCTTCCGGCTCCGGTTCGACGATGCCGGTATCGACGAGATGATGGAGGAAGAAGCGCGGCAGCAATCCGTCGCACAGGCCCAGAATATCACTACGGAGACAGAGGGTAACGACGAGAACGGTACCGGTGTAGACAAGGTTGCCGAGGGGGTGGGAGCACTGGACCTCTCTAGCACCAGGAACGGAACTTCACACCCAGCCCCAGCCATGGACGAAAACTCAGACCAACAACAACAACCCGTCATCCGTACGCTGGACGGTGAGGTCGTTGTGGACGAATTCGACCAGGATGCGCTCAACTACCAGATTCTCATGGACAAGCTCGATGGAATCTTGGAGGCTCTGGACCTTGATGCTTGAGTTGACATGACCGTTCCGTTTCTCGCCAATTCCTTCCCGGTATGCGGGATGATGATTGATGATTACTATATACATATATCCACCGGGAACTGCTATCTATATACATAAACGGCCCGGGGAATGCCTTTGCACAGTAAGGGAGATCGAATTTAATTAAGGGAAGAGATTGGTAGAAATGATGCAAGCATAGAAAGAAGCCACTTCCCCTTCTCTTGAACTGCGCACTACAATCTCGTGAGTAAATGCTACAGGAACCAAGGGCCTGCAATCATACATACCTGGAGTGCGGTCGAAAGAGTGTTCCAGGCAAAAGAAACCGTTTGTCTGCGCCGTAATCCTCCCGCACCCACACCAACCCTTGAAAGGGGACCCTGTCTCTCCTCTCCCTTGAGAAATAAGCACGTAGATGCTGCACTGCTAAAGAGGACGCAAGTTCGCTCGCTCACTATCCCCAAAACACCCACCATCCATCACAATCCCCAATCCACAGCCACAGCCACAACCACAGCCATCCATCCATCCATCCACCATCCAGCCAGCCAGACCAAGCAAAAAAAAAAAAAAACACATGCAAAACACACTGTACCCATACTTTCATTCCTCCCTCTCTCCCCAGCTCCAGACAAAATACATAACATATAACGTGAACATATGACCAGCCCCAATCATAAGATCCCTCAACAACACCAGCAACAAACTCACCTTGCCCTCAGCCACCCGTTGCAACATCCCCATCCTCCACCACAACAACCACCTACCTTTCCCTCCCCAAGCCCCAGGGATGAAGGATCCCACATTCAACTAGCAAAAAAGGTTCATACAACATTCCCGCGGACCTCATACGACTCCTTTTTCCCGGCCTTCGCCCTCACTACGGAGCCCTAAAGAGTATTTGAGTTTCGATTCGAGGCTCTCCCTCCGACGAAGGTTTGCGTGGATTGTGCAGTACAGTGCAGTACAGTACAGTACAGAATAGTACAGGTACGGTGTACTCGGGTGGAAGGAAGGAGGGAGGGAGGGAAGAAAAGCGTCTGACCACCACACGGAGTGTGCTTACGGGGAAGAAGGTGATATGGCTGATGGCGATGGCTGATGGCCGATGGGGAGATGTGACGGAGTTGCGTCCCGAGCCGCCGCCGAGGCTGGGTGCTCGTTGTTTAGGACCGTGTGTACAGTACAGTACATGTAGTCTGGAAGTTGAGTCATTTGGTGGGCGGTTGCGACGATTGGGAAAAGACCATACATCATAGGGGTTGAGGGCAGGGCGGTTGCTCGGGGGGTCAATGCTTGAGTTGACTTTGGAGAGGAGACAAAGTGACAACTCACAAAGAGGGGTTGCTGTGGTCTTATTGACTGCGGTTGATCCGGCGTGAACTCTCCCCACTTAGCTTCAACAGCTGGCTTCGAGTCCCCCAAGCTACGTCCAGTTCCAATCATCCTATGAGGCACAAAAGCATTTCTGGCACAAAAGTATTTCTTGAGATCTTCTTGATATTGAATGTTGATAATCTTTTGTTCACAAGGTGGTCATATCACGTCATTGGATACAAAGGAAATGAGATGACACAAGGAAAAGCATAACACAACAAAATAAACTCATAAACAACAGAAAAGAAAAAGTAGAAACTAGAGTCAAGGGACTCCAGATTCTGTTCACCATATTCTTCCCCTGCAACAACCTCTAGCTGTCGCAGCTCAAGGAATATAGTGTGTTTATCCCAAAACCATCATCCACAAGCGATGCCTGCTCCTTTCGCACGATAATAGACAAGAATGGTGTTGGGCGGGTTGAAGAGGTCCAAAAAAAATCATTCAAATATACACAGGGTGAGAAAGAGAAGAAAAGTATGTATGGAGACCTCTTTTGGTGATACACCGTAGCCCACTCCCGCCCTCCTAAGCTTTTTGCACAAAAAGAAACCTTTTGTTCGACGCAAAGAAGCAGAAAGAAGATAAAATGGTATATATGAACACGCAAAGCAAAAAGGGTATCATCAGAAGAAGCAATGCAGAGCAAAAGAAGTGTCGCTGGGAGTCATGGGTATCTGGGGGAAATATCTGGAGAGAAGAAACAATTCCCTCTCTCTCATTGCCTTTGTGTGCTTTTTTCTCGGTTTGCCGGGGAATGGTATAATTGGGGTCGGCCTTTTGCTCGCAGAGGTAATGCGATATACTCAAGCCCCTTATACCATGGCGGTGGCAACGGGCCGGCCGGTATGACAGCCACGTTCGTGGCGCTTCATGTTGCTCCGCACGCTGAAGGCTTTGCCACAGCCCGCGTGGGTGCAGCGGAAGGGCTTCTCTCCAGTGTGGCTGTGGGAGTGGATGCGGAGACTGGAAGGTCTCGAGAAAGCCTTGTGGCACGTTCTGCAGATGTATCGGTCGTGGTTCTGCTGGTAGGGGGTCGTGCTGGAGGGAGGGAAGTAGTGGTGATGCTGCCAGGCCGGGGTCACAGGGGAAATCATCTGTTGGTGTGAGGCAGTTGGCAGAGGAGCAGTGGAGGGAGGCACGCTGCTGGCAGGCTGGTAGGTGGACGAAGAGGAGGTCGGTCTCTGGAAGTAGATAGCCGAGGAGGCCGAAGGCTCAATGGGAGAGGAGTAAGAAGCGACGCTCGGGGCGGGAGAGACGTAAGGCGCGGCGGAGACAGGAGCCACGGAGCCCTGGCTAGAGATGGAAGACCGATCCGATGGACTGGGGAGTCTCACTGGCGCCTGGGTGTATGGCTCTGCGCGATTCACGGTGGCACCGTCGCTGACGGTGGAGATCGATGAGGTGGGAGAGTGGCTAACGCTGTTGAACCCAGAACCAGGACGCAACGGAGGCGTAGGTGGCAAGCCGATTTGGGGGCCATTGGCCTTCATCGCATCCAAGGGTTGCGAGGGGAGGCGGGTGTCCAGCTCGCGCTGAACTGGCGGAGTAATTCTTGCACGCTCTGCATTGCGACGGTCAGCACTGACCGAATTGATGGTCCAAATAGGCCGTTTTAGATATTGTGGGAAAGGTTGCCATACTAGCTGCATGTATGGAGGCACCATCTGCGCCTTCGAGCAGGGTCGAGATAGAAGGCAAAGAGCACTTGGGGGGCATCTCCTCGACCGGCGGGGAAGGAGGGGCGCGGGAGTAAGAAACCGGCACGGAAGCGAAGTATGAGTCCGGCGCGCGCTTATACGAAGCCAGGCGAGGCGCCGGGGGGCTGTAGGAGGCTCTTGACATGCTCATTGCGAGGGGATCTGGTCCCGGTTGAGTGATAAGGCTAGCGAGATCCATGATGGGCGACGGTGAGGGTCGTTGTAGCAGATGAGAATCAGTAGTGGTGGTAGTGGTGGTAGTGGTGGACAACTGTTGATGTTGTTGAAGTTCAAGGCTGGAACGGAAGGAGGAGGAAAGGGTAAGTGATTATTTCTCTTGAGGTTCAAAAAAGGCGGCTACCCAGAGTTCATATATGAAGAAGACTGGAGGGGAACTGATGGAACGGGGTATAAGAGATCCAATCTAAGAAACAATCCAGGCACGGTAGTCGAGACAGGTGGGGGTGGATATGAGAACCAGGAGGAGGAACTGGTTTATAGACCCAGAGCGATGGTGGAGATGCAGGGTTGACAATCATGGAATTATTTTCGAGAAAAAAAGAATTTATTCTTTTTTTTTTTTTTTTTTTTTTTTTTTTGGGTTTTTTTTTTTTTTTTTTTTTTTTTTTTTTTTTCCCGGGGGGGAGAGGATGGAGATGGGGGGATGGAGA